TTTGCAGGTCAGTGTGGATATGATTTTAACAAGGTACTGATAACAGTTAGACTTTAAACCAAGCTTTTCCTCCAAACTTCTGTGTTATAGGGTGTGAATCTTATTTATTTACACAAAAAGATTGATTTTGCAGCTTTTTTTTGTGCACGTGTTTCATTTATTATTTCTGATTTTGTTTATGAGTTTCATTCACCATGATTTATTTCTATATATGCCTGATAAGCTTTATTCTTATGCACCTGCAGTCTTTTAGGCATTATTTTGAATGTGTAACTCCTTAATGTAATGTTTGTTTTGATCTCTTATAATGTCCCGTCGCCATTCTCTCTTAATTGGTGTATGATGTTTGTTTGACTTTTCAGGCTCTTAACATTTTGCTTGAATTGTCATCATCATCAGCGGAGATAGCTGATAACAGAGAAGAGCCTATATTGTGTCCTGAATCAAATGACGAAGTAGGTTAATCTCATCTCTTATAGCCCCCTTTTCATTTATTTTTCTAGCTAGTGATTCTACCATGTTTTAGCTTTCCATTTGATTGCACGTGATGATACAATTAATAATCTGCCTGTCTGATGTACAATTATCCAAGTACATTATTTATGTCTATGTAAGAAAGTAATAAAATTCTACATTACGATTATAAACTAGTTGAATCGAATTCAATACCAGTGTATTTGATTTGAGTTCAATTGAAGTAGGGAGTATTTATATTCGTTTAATATTCAAATCTAAAACTCACCTAGCTTTATATTCACCTATCTTAATTCAATCCAGATATTTGTATACAAAATGCAAATAGCTGATTTTTCAAAAAAAAAAAAAATACTACACCAGTCTAAAAAAGGCACACTTCATCATAGTAAAACTATTGGAAGTCACCATTTCAGCTATATATTCGGATTCGTAAAATACTTCAAATTCAAACCTGATTCACAAAATTATTTACCGCCTTAGATTACATATTCTAGTTTCCGTTTATAATATCAAGATCTTTTCAACCTGAAAACCTGGGGGTTATGATTATCTATGATCTTGATGACTTCGTTTTTAATCTCTTTTTTTTTCAGACTGGAATTTCCTTTGAACTTATTCCCTCCCACAATTTGATGTTTGGGACCATCTCTCTATTTATCGCCCATCATAATGATAATTTAGTCATCTTATTGTCTGATTCTATTTATGCAGTTCACTGGTGGAACTTTTGATTCTTCTTACTCATCTGCATGTGGTTTGCAAGAAAAAATGTCATATGCTGAGAATCCTTGCAGGTAGCCAGTGTATTTTTATTTCTCTGTATTTTGTAATTTTGGCATGGTTATGTTTATTGGTGTAGAGTTTGGTAGAGAGGATGGTCTTATACGTATCATCATTTCCACCACCTGTCACCTAATTCCAACTATGGTTGAGACTTGGGATCAATGGCCATTTAGTTTGGGGTGAGAACTTAAGTAAATTGGGTAACTTGGGTTAATTCAGGTTAAATAAAAACTAGCATGCACATCATGGGGCATGACAATCTTAACTTAATGTAAACTGTCAAGAATGTAAGGTGGTAGGGAATTTGTTGGGAAATAAAGACATGTGACTTTCAACATTCAAAACTACTTGCACATATTTTGGGAAAAAACATTCTGCAGTCACCCATAGTTGGTAACAAATGGAATTTTAAATAAATGCCACTTTATCTCAGGAGTCAGATTAGTTTTTTGCATGACAATGAGCATTCTTCACCACCACAAGGAAATTCGGCATCACAGCTCTCAAAGGAAGTTTTGGAATCATTGTTTAATATGCCATCCCCTAAGATCGTTGAACACGAACCGGGTGCTTTAAAATGGAAAGATGTTGTGACAAAAATGACATCCTTGAGACTGAACTCTGAGCCTTCCCCTGCGAGCAGTGTTGCAGGCCTTAATAACACTGGTATTTATCTTATCCAGAGCATCCGGGATTCTATTTGCTACCTTTAGCCTTTATAAATAAGGCTTTTATTAAGNCCCCCCCCCCCCCCCCCCCAAAAAAAAAGAGAAGACATCAAAACATACTCATTTTTGGATTGACAATAGATTTAACTCATCTGTGATACACTTCTCAAATCTCAATTATAGCTAAAGGAGAGGACTACCAGGTCTTCAGAGAAGTTTCAACACATCACTGGCAATCAATGAAATCATACTATCAAAAGGTACGCACAACTCCCTTTGTCCCATTGTTTTCTTCATGTGTGGCTTTTCACGGTCTTCATTGCAACACTTTGATCAAAATTATTTATAATTTCTACGTAGAAATTCAATTCGGAGTATAGTCAGTATATTTATATGAAGTTTTAAAACTACATTTATAAACAAGTCTAATGATATCGCTTTCATGTTATAACTCAGTGTACTTTTACACAAACATTGATTAAGTTCTATAAACTTGACCTGAAAAAAAGTATGGGATAGGGGAGTATATATTAGAGTAAAATTAAATGTGGCCAAAAGTTTATAGATACGAAAAGCTTGGTCTGCTCGGTTGTTTTGCAGGCAGCATCAGCTTTTACTAGTGGTCAACGACAATATGCTGCTTATCTTGCTGAACAGGTGTGTAGTACGTTACCTAACATCATGGGTCTCATGTCAGAAATTCTCATGCTTGTACTTCTCTTTTCATCTTGAGTTTATAGTTAGGATGCATTTAGCACTTCCATTTGTGTTGTTTCACAAAAATCTCCAATGTTCTAAAAGTTAGTGTGACCTAGGTGATGGCCATGATAGTCGAACAACTAGACAAAAAATATGCGTAACCAATTATATTGTATACTTTTGCCATTTCACAGGGCAGGGCTCAAAACAGAAAGGCTTTGGAGGCGGAGGAAAAGGCTAGCCAGAATATATTTGAAGCCAGGTGAATTTTAAATTTGTTTTTATTTTCTCTGCAGAGTCTAAGTGAACTTTTCTATTGTTTACAGAAATAAAAGCATAGAAAATGTGATTACAATTGACATGCATGGGCAGCATGTAAAACAAGCAATGAGGCTCTTGAAACTTCACCTTCTGTTTGGTGCATTTGGACGCTGTAATTGTCTTTGACTGACTAGTGTACATTACCGCTTTTAAATAGTCTTAAGATTCATAGCTGATTGACTTTTGTTGCTTCTCCAGCTGTTCGGCAATTCAGGGTAATCACTGGAAGTGGGGGCCAAGGCCTTGGGAAGTCTAAGCTCAAACTCGCGGTATGATACAAATTGAGTCTTAAACACCTTCCCCTGCGACATATTCATTTCCTTGAAAGGAAAAGAGAGAACATGAAGTTTCTTTTGGGAGGCGGACCAAAAAGAGAGTGGATTTCTTTTGGAGATGTATGGAGTATATACTTAGTAAAAACTGAATTCCCCGACTTTATGTGTATGGGGAGACCATTGTATCTGTGAAATGTGTATAGTTACTCTTAGGGTGTGTTTGGTTCATAGGAGGGAAGGGGATAGGAGAAGATTTTACTATTTGCTCCATTTTTTGGCTCCTTCTAAAAGATGAATTTGGACAATACAGGTGACGAATCTATTAGAGAGGGAAGGAATTGAGTGGAGGGAGGAGAACAGCGGAACATTGCTAATCAAGCTTCAAGGGCAAACAAGTTTCAGCTTCTTGGATGCTCCCGATAGTGATGACGAATGAAGGAGTGTAAGAATATTCTTACTTTTAACTTATAGAGGGGTTGCTAGAACACATTGATAGCTTAACACCCTGTTTGTTGCCCAACAACAAGCCTACTTTCCATTTTACTCCCTGTAATTGTGAACCAATGAGTGAATCTAGTTGTGTGATGCTTGCTCCTCACATCTCCTTGTTTTATGTGACTAATATGTGACTGAGTACAACGATTGACGAAATTCTGGAATTCTTATGTAATTTTGACCTTCATTCTTATGTGAAAACTGTGCTACTATGTTTATATTGTCTTTGTGAGCCAAGAGTCTTTTGGAAACAATTATCTAAATATTATAGTAGATTGGGGGTAAGTACACCTCAAAGGGGGAATTGTACATTGTTTGTGGCTGTGTTCACTCTTTTCTTACCCTATCACAAGAGTGGAGAAGGTTTGTACTTTTAGGGTTGTAGGCGAAACAAATAATATTGACTCGATTTGTGATTCATATGTCGAATCGAATTCAAATATTTCAATTACAAATACAAATTTGTATATGGATTTTGATTATTGAAACAAATTAATATACACCAGTATAAAGGTACTAACGTAACATTGAGTATAATAATATAAGATACTCCTTAAATAATTTTCAATAGTCATATTTTGTAGCAAAACATAATTCTTTTAGGCAAGTATATTACTCCCTCCGTCCCTCAGTGTTTGTCCACTTTCATTTTTGTACACCATCCAATGCACTTCTTTAATCCGTTTTATCTTGTAATTTGTATATTAAAAAATTATATATTAATAATCTATATGTTAAGACAAATCAAATAAGATCACACATGACTATTTTTAGGCTTACACATTGAGAAAATTTGATGGGTCAAAGTGCTTAGATGAACAGTCCAAAAGTCAAAAGTGGACAAACACTCAGGGACGGACCAAATATGAAATACTCTCTCCCTCCCACAATGTTTCTTACTCTATAAATTATTTTAATTATAAATTGGTATAAAAAATTACAAATTACACTGTTTAAAAGAAAATGAAAAATTTTACAAAATGAGATGAGACAAAAATAGTCTATTTTATCAAATGATAAATAAAATATACAAATAAAAATTATCGAGAAATCATAATAATAATACCGACAAACGTTGTGAGATAAAAGGAGTAGTGTTTTTTAGATTTCGTATTATGTACAAGATACTCTTTCCACTCCGAATTAATTCTCACTTTCATTTTATTTTGTTCCAAAAAAATATCTTTCTTACTTTCTAATAAAGCAAGAGATATGGGTTAAAAAATTTCCTTTTTCCTCAAATATATTTCAACCCTCATTTTTTTAACATTTTTCTTTAACTACGTGTAGTAAAACTTTTTTTAAAAAAATACTCGGTACTCAGCATTTGATCGCGGACACCACAAAATGCAACTGCACTTGGGCAATTAATAGGGGGTGCTTGTATATGGCTTCAAAAATCTCAGCAATTGGGGTAACAAAAAGTGCCATTTCCTCAAACATGGAAATCACACTAATGAATTTATTATAGGGATGTGCAGAACTGAAAATTGCTGCAGACAAACTGACTACTCCCCATTGTTCTTTCTTGTTATGGCGTCGTGCAGTAAGCCGAACTCCAAAAACAAGCCATAGGGCATTTCATAGATCATTTCATACATATCAAGTGCCAAACTTTGCGCCTTGCTGCCTAAAACAATTAGCTATCAAGTGGAAGTTCACCGCTGTCTGCAATTATAACGTCGCTCTTGGGTGTGCCGCTCTGTTTGCCTTCTGCTTCCATCTTATACACCACGTCCATTCCAGATAACACCTTCCCGAAGACAACATGTCGTCCATCTAGCCTGCACACAGTACACAAATGATGGTGTTATGTACTAAATCATTTTGTAACTCGGAATATGCTAAATTATGGAGTAAATACAGTTCTGCAGGAAAGATACTAGTAGAAACATGTTTTTTTTTTTTTGTTGTTTTAATACTTGTTCAGACTCATTTGAAAACATTGATCACATTTCATTTAGTTTGGTAAAACCAAACAAGAGAAAATAACATTCCTGATTTTTTTTTTTCATTTCAATGGTATTTTGTGGGATTCAATTATATCCTTGGTAGGGAGTTAATTTCCGGGATGCTATGATCCATGGGAACACTTTACGATTCCCATCTTTCAGAAGCTTGAACTATAGGAAACTCTCTCAAGAATGTTTTGGACAATTTGTGGAAACAATTAAACGTGTTTTTGTAACCTCTCGGTTTACAGGCCTCTCCAATCGCCATGAAGTTTATGGTTTTTTTATGAGGCAAGTAGTTGTCTGATTCATGCACAGAACTAAGGCCAGGAATTGAGACAGAAAACAACAAAAGGCAAATGTTGTTGACAATAAGACAGGCCAGATGACTAACTCACCAGCTGGTTGTGACAGTGGTGATAAAGAATTGTGACCCGTTGGTGTCAGAACCGGCATTTGCCATTGACAGAAGACCTGCAATGCAAAATCATAAATAATGACTTCCACACGATGATTCATGTGCACATCAAAAGCCAAGTGATGAAATATAGGGGATGTGGGGAGGGGCACCTGGTCCAGTGTGCTTGATCAAGAAATTCTCATCAGCAAACTTTTCCCCATAAATAGACTCACCACCCATACCATTACCGAGGGTAAAGTCACCACCTTGAACCATGAAGCTGGGGATAATTCTGTGGAACTTACTGCCTTTGTAATGCAGAGGCTTCCCACTCTTTCCTGTACCTTTCTCACCTAAAGAATTATACAACTGATTTAACTGGGTGCTATTTTTTTCTTAAAACAAAATAAGGAACCCTATGGTAAGCAGCTGAGACAGTTACCTGTACATAATGCTCTAAAGTTTTCTGCAACAAAAAAAGAAGAAGAGAGTATTAGAAAACCTACTGGAGAAGGGCATCCATAAAAAGCAGAATATTATTACACGCACGAAATGTAAGAATACCTGCTGTTTTAGGAACTGTTTTTCCAAAGAGGCCAATGACAATACGTCCTGAAAAAAATGGACTTATGCTATTTGATCTACGGAGCATGTTGGGATAGAATCTGAAATGCCGATGGCAAGATAATGAGATGGGAAACTAAAGAACATACCGGCAGGTTTTCCCTTAATCTCAATATCAAAGTATACTTTATTTGTTACTTCTTTCAAACTTTCCTGCGACTTTTTCGACTTTTTTGCCTGTGAATAAATACTCAAAAGGTCAGCCTTGTGCCATTCCATGAAACACTTATTCCAGTCCCAGATCATTTCTGTCTGGCCCAACTGTAACAGGAGAGTCTTTTTCCTTCCATACATACTTCAATGTTCTCCAACAATGCATTATACCATCTTATCGTTACTGGTTTCCTTAACGGCATTACTCATCTTAACACATTCAAATTCTCACGCGATATCAAGCTGAAGCCGCTTCAATTTCATGTCTTATAGACCGTGGTTTAAATGACAAAGAAAAGTTAAAAGAAAGCAAGCAATTCAATATGTTTTCCAAAGAAATGAATCACAGGGAGAAATGCATAAAGAGATTTTGATGGACAATGGAAACCCAGATTTCAATATCTAACATCACTATATAGCATGACAATCCACTAAATATCAGATCCATAACATATAATCAAAGAAGAAATCAAAAACTGGAAAAACAGATCTAAAGAACAGCAGATTCAATCGATTATCACATCACACTCACAGACTTGTTCGAAATAAAGAAAACTAAACGAAGGCATAAACGGAATTACAGATCAAATGAATATAACGGAAAATAACCTGAGAGAAAGCTGCTAGGGTTCCAAAGAGGAGGACGAGGAGTGCGAAAGATTGCAGCTTTGATTTCGCCATTTTTTCTCTCTCGAGTTACAGATCAGTTCTGGAAGTTAGGACGGAGGAAGAAGGGAAGCAAGCGGGTATATGTGTAAATAAAGAAGAGAGGCCTGAAGGATTAGGCCAATTGTAGGATGCCACGTAAGCATACAACGCCACGCGGAGAGATATGATTGGTGGAGTTCTGTAGTTCTGTGAGAGAAAAGCGCTGGAGGATGTAGAAAAAAAACTAAAACGCCGTTGCCGGGGATCGAACCCGGGTCACCCGCGTGACAGGCGGGAATACTTACCACTATACTACAACGACTTGGTTGTTCATCAGTCGAGCTTAGTCAATCTTATCGTTTTATAAAAGATCATAGGCGTCACACTATTTTCAGTCCAACGGCTTAAGTTGGTTTAGATTCTTTTTTTTGCAATGCACTCTGCATTTAATATCATTTGTCTAATAAGACATTCTTGAAAGGCTCTCGGGGCAGGTTATAAATTTTCATAAATCCAGTGTATGCTTCAGCTTGAACACACTAGAGGCTGTTCGAAGATGGATTTCGAGCTTCTTTAAAGTAACAGAAGCAGAAGACTTTGGCAAGTATCTGGGCTTACCCTCTTTCTTGGGTAAAATCAAAAGAGCAGTTTTCTCTTATATCACAGATCGGATACGTCAACGTGTGACATCATGGGATAAAAAGCTACTTTCAAAAGGAGGTAAAGAAATTTTACTTAAATCGGTGGCCCAAGCAATGCCGCAATTCGCCATGAGTGTATTTTTACTCCCTTTGTCTTTATGTCATTCCATTGAAAATCTCTTGAACTCTTTTTGGTGGAATGACAGAGGTAATCATGGTGGAGGCATCAAGTGGATGGCTTGGGAGAGGCTGACAGTCCCTAAAAAATTTGGTGGGATGGGCTTTAGGAATTTCTCTGCTTTTAATGTGTCTCTCCTGGCGAAACAGGGATGGCGATTCTTGGTGACCCCTGATGCTTTGGTCTCCCGAGTCTACAAAGCTAGGTACCTCCCTAATTCCTCTTTTGTTGAGGCTTCACTTGGAAATACTCCAAGTTACTGTTGGAGGAGTATTATGACGGCACAGAATTTGATTCGAGAAGGGGTGTGTCGTCGGGTGGGTAACAGGAGGGATACCAGATTCCGGGAAGACCCGTGGCTTACTTGTGGGGAGAGTTTAAGGCAGTATAAACAAGGGCACCACGGGGTAAAAGATTTAGTGTGTGATTTTTTTTGTTGAAAACACAGTAGTATGGGATGAGTTGCGGCTCAGGGCAAATCTACCACGCGGGGTGGTAGACCAAATACTCTGTATCCCTACTTGTTTGATGCGAAGTGATTGCTCGTATTGGCAGATTCTGGCGTATTCCAGTTGCTCCAAAAGTGAAAGTTTGTATCTGGAGGGCATTAAGGGGAGTTCTTCCCACCATGGGAACTCTCAATTCGAGAAGAGTGGAGATTGTAGATAAGTGCCCTTTGTGCGGTATTGATGGAGAGACGGTGGATCATCTCATTTTGAGGTGCCCGTTTACAGAAGAGGTGTGGAGCTTGACGGGTAAGGGGGGAGGTCGTGATTCTTTTGTTAATTTTGTTTCTTGGTTTCAGGCACGCTCCCAGGTGGACTCGCTTGGAGATTTGCAAGTCGTGTGTTGGACAATCTGGAGCATTTGGAAGGTCAGAAATGATGTCGTGTGGAATCGGAGGGCTCCTCAACCCAGTTCCGCACATAGACTTGCCATAGACATGCATAAAGCATGGTGTGATCGGTTTCAAGCTGGTCAAACGGAAGAGCTCACTCATACAGGAACAACGGATATAGTGCAACAGTCGCCAAGAAGTATATGTTGCTGGTTCGATGCCGCACTCTTTGCTTAAGAAGGTACTGCTGGTTTTGGTTGCTATATATTATTAGCAGATGGCTCCTTTGGAATTGCTTTTAACGGGCCGATTCAAAGCACCCAAGACCCAGCGATGGCAGAAATCATGGCTTGCAAAGAGGTATTATATTGGCTTAAAAATAATGGGTTTAAGGAGGTCTTACTTTTCTCGGACTGTTTGAATTTGGTCAAATCTTTGCAAGAGGGAAATGAAGCTTCCTATCGTTCTTACTTTGGTGCTTTTGTTGATGATTGCTTGTCGCTTATGGCGTTCTTCGATGTTATTACTTTATCTTTTGTTCGTCGGGAATGTAATAGTAAGGCTCATTCTTTAGCAAGAAGAGCAGGGGCTCAACTTCGAAAGTGGGATTCCCCTCCTAGTTTTGTTTGACATTTAATGGAATGATTATTTATTTTGTTCAAAAAAAATAAGACATTCTTGATACAATAAAAGATAAATGAATATAAACATAAAGTAGAAGTGACAACAACTCAATGTAATAAATAATTAGAGAATTTATAAAAATTATAAATTTTGAAGTCGAACAAATTAATTTATATGGAGTATAATTTTCTTTAAATTCTTTTGTCATAGACCTAAAGTCAAATCTTTATTAGCTAAAACTTTTTTTGAAGGAAAAAGATAAATATCATTATTGCCTCTAAATAAATTGTATAAAATCAGGTAAATAAGAATATTAAAAAAACCAAACAAATATGAAACATGCCTTTAAAATGATGGTGGAATAATAAAGATGCGGAGTATATCCCATCTTTTATGTGTTGGTACATTGGTAGAAATATGAAACATGCCTTTAAAATGAGTGTATTCATCACTCGCCACATCCGCTCACATTACTCTCCACTGCTTTTCTGCTCTGAGATCGCTCTCTGCACTCCATTAGAATTCGGATTTTAACACCCAAATGTTTATTGCATTATGTTGATGAAGGATGCTTTGGATGGTAATGACTAATGAGCAATGGTTGCTGGTGACTAGGTGCTTTCATTTCTGTATGGTTTGAGGTATGCTGGGTTGTTTTAGTACATGATTAGGGATATATACTTTAATAGAAAAGTTGTTTTGATCTGTAATACTTTGGTGGTTTGAAGAAGAGGGAACTCTTCACTTAGAGGTTGTTGGTGCTATGAATGATGTGTAATACATTGATGGTTTGAAGAAGAGGGAACTACTGATTCTTAAGGCCATTGTTTCCCTTCTTCCAATTGTTAAAATATGTCTGCATCAATTCTTTTCAGTTGTTAAAATCAGAGGATCAGGTATATGTCGAAGTTACACTCCAAAAGAGGATTGAAACAGAATGCTACATCTCAGAACTTGCTTTGTGTTAAGTATAAGGTACTTAGTAGTTAGTTCAACTATTGTGAGTCATAACCAATATTTTAACTATTCTGGGATGTATGTGCTTTTGCTCACAAATCATTTGTAAATTCTTACTCCTAGAAACCATTTAGTTTGCAGGATCTACAAAGTTCTACATCAGAATGCACACAACTAAAGAAAGTAAATCTCAGTGCCTAAGGAACTCACATCACTTAAGTTGTGGCTAGCAATATGGCAGTGCTTCCTTAGGTCAACTTAGATGAAATTTATTTTTATTGTTTAATAGGTATTAGATATCAATCAAGAGGGAGAAGATGCCCAAAATTTGGCTACGTTAGGTAATGGGTCAAATATATTAAAGAGACATGTGATGTCTTAAAGTTAAAACCATCATTACTCATTACTATTTCAAAAACTAACACTTTCTCAAATGTATAGGCTCCCAAAATGTCTCTGTTTAGTTGTCGTTGTTCTGTTTGTGTATTTGTTATATTTTTGCATACACTATTTGAGTAATTTTGTAGATTATTTTTTGTATTTGCTTTCTGATTTTTGTTACCCCTTATCATATACGGAGTATGTTGTATTTTGAATAAAATACATATTGTACTTGCATATTCTCATCTACAGCACGGCCTTTTTTTGACAGCATTGAGTGCTAATTTTGTTCAAAAATATGATCTGCCCATGCCATTTTTTTGAAAAATTTTGTGGCTTTTTGAGCTGAATTCTTATTGCTATATTCTGCATTTGGAATGCTTATTTGTGATCTTTTGCATGCCGATTTATTTCCCCAAAACAAGTTGTTTATGTTGATTTTATAGTGTAAAAAAATTTATCTATGCTCTTGCTGATTTCTAAGAATAATACACCTCTTTAATTAATTTGCTAGCAAATTGATGTAATGAATTCATTGCATAATGGACATAAATTAGGTTATGCAATTGGAGATGCTTGAATTCCAGGTTTTATTTCAAACAAAAGGGTCTTGATTGGAGGAAGATTGACTTAGAATTGAAGCATTGACACATTAACATGTTTGCATTGTTTTTCTTTCATTTTGCCCTACACTTTGAATTATAAGAAATGAAATATGTGTTAAGAGTTTGATTTTGCAGAAAATTCTTAGGTATATATATTTGATGAAAGAATGTTGACACTTCAGATGTGAAGAGAGTTGGTATGGAGTACCTTGGTATAGAGTACCAAGATCTTTAGGATATTTCTTTGGGTATGGACTACCTTTTACACATGTGAACACCGTTCTTTATCAATATTACGCCCATCAACTACAATTTGGATTATTTTTAAACAACAATGAAATTTCTTGAAGACTATCAGGACACAAACTTTAATAGAGTATACATTTTACTTATTTATTTATTTTTTATTTCATCCTTATAATTTTAATTTGTAGTTACATTTTACGCTAAAGTATACAAGCTCGTGCGAAGCATTGGTAAAAAAATTTTTTTATGATAATAATATTTCCTACTGTATTTTTTCTCTTCATTTACAACGTAAAGTTTTTTTAAATAATAAATCAAATACTTTATTTACCTATAAATAAATTTGATAAATAAACAAAAAAAATATTATACGTAGTTTGAATAAATTATATTTATTACTAGACAAATCATAGTTTATATTTCTTAGATGATGTATGATTGAAATTTAAAAGTATATTACTGTATTTTTAGGTATATATCTATTATGATATGATATTTTTAATTAAATTATAAATAAAATTGATAAACAGATGTACCCCTTGACATGCAATGTTTTACTAACATATTTAAGATTTCAACATCATTGAGTAAATTTAATTACGGAGAATAATTATAAGATCGCTAATATTTGTTTATTAGTATTTTTAATGAACTAATGCAGAGGGAGACAAAATTCATATGGAGTATTTTTTAAACTAATATGAGGGAGGATAATCTTATTAATTCGGGGGATATGAATCATAATTTTTTTCTAATCCCTTCCATATAAATTTGAGACTCGAGTCTTTAAGAATATGGCAAATAAAATATTTTTTTGAAGGCATTATTTTTGACATTAAGATTCCATGTAACAATTACTTGATTATATTAAAATAAAGCATTTATTAAAAGTTTATAGAAGGTAATAACCTTAATTATCCCTAACACTTAAATAAACCTCCAAGCACGTGGCTCTAGAACTGTTCTGATAATAGTAGTAATAATAATAATAGTATTATTGACATGAAAAATGCATGCAAGTAATTTATAATCACTACTGAAAGAAATGAAAAGAATTTAGATATAACTAGAAAGAGTATGAAGGAATATGAAGTTAGAAATATTGTATCTGAAGAAACTAAAAGAAGTTGAAAAGAAATAGTTGCGTTGAGAAAAATTTGAAGTTAAGAGTGTATTTGGTTATGGAAAAATATATTTTTAGACAATTATTTTAGGGGAAAATATTTTTTATGAAAATATGTTTCTTCAAAAAAAATTCTATTATTTGTTAGAATTAGTCCATTATTGATATTTGAATAAAAAGTGAAGATATTTGAGATAGTTGTAATATATTTTAGGGAGCATATTTTAGTTTTAACACACGATCAATATCAAATCTTCATTATAGAGTTTCATTCTCTAAAGGGTGGACGAGGCTCCTTCACTAATGAGCTGAACTTGAACTAGATACGTAAGCTTGGAGATTAACGAATACATATTGCTTGAAGTGAGTTTCACTAGGTGAAACGAATTCGGTCTGGGAAGGGGAGTGGCCGAGTGGTCAAAAGTGGCACACTGTAAATCTAATGAAGTTTTTCTACGTAAGTCCAAATCCTGCCTCTGGGGCAGGGGCGAAGGGAGAGTGTGACCGAGTGTGGGGGATGGGGAAAAGGATGGGAGTTGGTGGGGAAATGAAGTTAAGGAATTAAAGTATTCGATAATCGAGTAAAAAACATTGAAAACATTCAAAAGTTATTTTTTCCATTCTTTGAGAAAACATTTTCCCTAAAAATGATCTCTAATCACTTCAGCAAACTAACATAAGAAAGTAGAATTGTAATTTTTTGGAAAAGTTTTTTTTTATCTCAACAAAACATATCTGAAGAGTTGGAATCCAAATGAACAAAACCTTAAAAAAAAAAGATATATTTTGGATCAAAAATAATTTCATTCCTAAAAAATGATCTCTTACCCCTTCTACAAACTAACACAATATAGAATTGTAATTTTTTGAAAAGGTATTTTATGTCAAGAAAGCAGATCTAAAGAGTTAGATCACAAATGAATAACACTTTAAATAATTAAATAAATTTTTAATATCGAAAATAATTTCGTTCCACCCGTGCATGACACGGGTTAGAATACTAGTTGGTAGAAATATGAAACATGCCTTTAAAATGAGTGTATTCATCACTCGCCACATCGGCTCACATTACTCTCCACTGCTTTTCTGCTCTGAGATTGCTCTCTGCACTCCATTAGAATTCGGATTTTAAAGATGTCCGGAAGCGGTGTCGTTACACTATATGCAAACGCCGCCATCGCCGAGACCGCCAAGAAATCCCCCTTCTCCGTGAAGGTGGGTCTGGCCCAGATGCTCCGCGGCGGCGTCATCATGGACGTCGTCACGCCCGAGCAGGCCCGGATTGCGGAGGAAGCCGGCGCTTGCGCCGTCATGGCTCTGGAGCGCGTCCCCGCGGACATTCGAGCTCAGGGCGGCGTCGCCCGGATGTCCGACCCTCAGCTGATCAAAGAGATCAAGCAGGCCGTCACTATTCCCGTCATGGCCAAGGCCCGGATCGGGCATTTCGTCGAGGCCCAGATTCTCGAGGCGATCGGGATTGATTATGTGGACGAATCGGAGGTCCTCACCCCCGCCGACGACGCGAACCACATCAACAAGCACAATTTCCGGATCCCCTTCGTCTGCGGCTGCCGGAACCTCGGCGAGGCCCTCCGCCGCATCCGGGAGGGAGCCGCCATGATTCGGACCAAGGGAGAGGCCGGCACCGGCAACATAATCGAGGCCGTCCGCCACGTCAGGTCCGTGATGGGCGACATCCGGGTGCTCCGCAACATGGACGACGACGAGGTGTTCACCTTCGCCAAGAAGATTCAGGCGCCGTACGATCTGGTCCTGCAGACGAAGCAGCTGGGCAGGCTCCCAGTCGTCCAATTCGCCGCCGGAGGGGTGGCGACCCCAGCGGACGCAGCGCTGATGATGCAGCTGGGATGTGATGGCGTGTTCGTGGGCTCCGGCGTCTTCAAGAGCGGAGATCCGGCCAGGAGGGCCCGCGCCATCGTGCAGGCCGTCACCCACTACAGTGATCCGGAGGTGCTTGCAGACATAAGCTGCGGGCTTGGAGAGGCCATGGTTGGGATCAATCTCAATGATGACAAAGTGGAAAGGTACGCCAACCGATCTGAGTGAAGATTGGCTAATCAGAAAGATTGAATTTTTAATGGAAGTGTCTGATTGATCTTTCAATGGAGACTTCTTGGGATGTATGTTTGTTATTAATCCCAAAATAAATGCCTATGAATTTATGCTTTTTGATGTTTCTGTCTGGTTAGAAACCATTGTAGTCATAAACATTTGTAATGGTTATAATTATTTCAGATCATCCCATGTTGAGTTCATCTTCATGTGCAATCACATGCATTGATATTTGACAGATCTCTTTTTTTTCTTCTTCTTCAAATTTATGTCCCTTCCATTTGTTCTTCATTCAAACTAATCTTGGGTATATGATCATTGTTTAGCAAGTTATTAAAATTGATATCGAGGATAATGATCGTCGGGTATTAAGAAGTAAGCTTCATAGCATTTGAGAAGGGTGACAATGTAACATAACATCTATAACCAATGTGTTATCCTTATCCAAAGTCTCAAGGAACCCCTATTAGAGGTTATGTCTTTAATCTCTACTGTTTACATTTGTAAGCAACTTCTTTTTTTAAAGTGAAAGCATGGTTTAATTTTGTTTCCAAACATTGAAACCTTCAGCTCCACTGCAAGTTAGCACCTTATTCCTCATGATTGCTTTAATAAAGTAAAAAAAGATGCTAGAAATCTCTTTCCTTCTATGTGGGCATAGAACATTCTGAAACAGTATTCTTCCCAGCAAACACAAGGGCTTTGAAATGCTGCATGATATTTAGACGAAGCACGTTCCTCTCTGGCGTAAGGGGCATAAATGTCACATCAACGTTTTAGGCTGTGTTGCTGTTTCCTTGGTTTCAAACTGAGGGGAGAAGAAGCACCAGAGCAGATAAGAAGTGTTTTTGAGAATTACTCTGATGAGAATGGAATCATGACTGCTGATAACTTACTTAAGTTCTTGAAGGAGTTTCAGAAAGAGAATGAGGCAACCATTGAGACAGCAGAAAAGATTTTGCGCGAGGTGAAGCGTCTCAACCATTTCCATCACAAGGGTTTGGTCATTGACGAGTTTTTTCGGTATCTCCTTAATGATGATCTGAACAATGCCCTCAAAACAACGGTGAATCTCTTTTCTTCTTCTGCATTTTTTTACTTTTCTTAAGTTCGTGTTTTTTTTGTGCACTTTGATTAAACAACTGGTTTCTGTTTTGGTTTCTTCTTGTTGTTTGTAGGTTCACCATGACATGAATGCTCCCTTGGCGCATTACTTTATATTCACCGGGCATAACTCTTATCTCACTGGAAATCAAATTTGCAGTAAAAGCAGTGTCGACCCAATAGTGAAAGCACTTAAGAGAGGCGTGCGAGTGATCGAATTGGACCTTTGGCCTAATTCAAAAATGAATGACATCATCGTTTGGCATGGCGGGTAAGTTTGCTTTTCCCTCATTCATATTTTACCAAACGGAGCCTAATACTTTCAGGTTAACCAAAGAAAGCTGCTGTTACTAAGTGGTTGGTTTTTGTCGTGTAAACTGCAGGACCTTTACGTCTAAAGTTAAACTGATTAAGTGTTTGAAAGCCATCAAAAACTTTGCATTTGTTGCTTCTGCATATCCTCTTATAATAACTTTTGAAGATCACCTTAAAGCCGACCTTCAAGCTCAAGTGGCAAAGGTTGTTGTTCTTGTTGCTGTTGTTGTTAGAGTACGATTTAACTTTAAACGAATAATGTCTGAAGAACCTCTAAATGTGCAGATGGTGAAACAGATTTTTCAAGAGATGCTGTTTTGTCCAGAATCAGATCTAACTGAGTTTCCTTCACCAGAATCTTTGAAGGGAAGAATAGTGATTTCAACAAAGCTGCCAAGGAAATACTCAAAATCTGGGACTCTAATTGAACCACATACCATAAATGAGACCATTTCTTCTAGAAATGAACTTCTGTCGATTCACGGGGTCCATTCAAGTTCCTTAACTGATTCCCATATTAGACTCCCCTCTATTTCTTTCTTTTCTTAATATGCTCTTCTTGATCATACTTGCTTTTGCAGTCTCAACATCTGCAAGCTGAAGAAATTCTAGAGGGCAATGCTGATGATGAAGATGGACTTGAGAGAACTCCCGAATACAAAAATGTGATTGCCATCCATGCTAGTAAGCTCAATGGCAGTAAACACAATTTACCCAGCCATGATCACAAAGTTACTCGTCTTAGCATGAGTGAAGAAACACTTAAGCATGTTGTGAACATCCACGGGAGGGAACTTATCGGGTAATAATCTGTTCTCCACATTCCTCATCAGTGCTGCATTACTGTTAAATTTAAATTAAAATAAGGGCCTGTTTGGGATCTGCAATTGTGAAGGTTTACACAACGGAACTTCCTGAGAGTATATCCCAAGGGCAGTCGCATTACATCATCGAATTATAATCCTTTAATAGGATGGACGCATGGAGCTCAGATGGTTGCATTTAACATGCAGGTCAGCATGCAATAATACATATGAATCTGGTTTTTAGTAAAACCATAAGACAACCACGATTGTTCAAAAAAAAAAAGAAGACAACCTCAGATTCTTAACTAACACTTTTCTCCCATTTTGTTTTTTGAAACAGGGACATGAAAAGCATCTTCGGATCATGCAAGGAATGTTCAGGGCTAATGGTGGCTGTGGGTATTTGAAAAAACCAGCTTTTCTATTGGGCGACGGAGACTGTGGTGAAGTTTTTCACCCCTCAGCCTTGACAGTAAAAACAACTCTCAAGGTTAACATATACATGGGAGAGGGGTGGCGCGAAGACTTCCACTTCAGACATTTTGATTATTGTTCGCCGCCGGATTTCTATGCAAAGGCAAGCAAGCTACTCACACACATAACTTCTAATGTTTTCGAACTTATTCTAGTTTCTTTTCTTTTCTTCCAACGTCCAATTCTGTTTCTTATAGGCCCCGTTTGGATTGGGTTTAAAGAAAATCGTGGATTTATTATACTGCAGGTGAAGATTGTAGGAGTGTCTTGCGATCGCACGAAATCAGAGAGAACAAAGAAGATAGACGATCAGTGGTTGCCATCATGGAATGGGAAAGAGTTTGAGTTCCCATTGCGCGTTCCTGAACTGGCATTGCTTCTTGTTGCAGTCAAAGATCATGACCCTGCCGGAGGAGATGAATTTGGCGGGCAGACCTGCCTGCCCGTTTCTGAGTTGAAGACTGGCTTTCGATGTGTTCCTTTGTATGACCGCCGTGGTGACAAATACTCACACGTCAAGCTCCTCATGGGTTTTCAGTTTGTTTGAATTGCTTTGTTTCTCTCTCTCTTTTTGGTTCATTCTTTTCGCTCTACACTTGCAGGAGTTCTGCATTTGTATCTATATAAGAATCCTTGAACTTGTTCATATGACCGGATGATAATAATTCTATGAATAATGCTAAAAATCAGTCACGTGTGCTCCTACGAATGACAATCATAGATGATTTTATTATGGTCTGTGCCTGCAAATGATTGTCTTTATGTTATAAATCATCTGTTATTTTCATTCATGGGGCAACCGTTGTCGGTTCTAGCATTGTCTAAGTCTATTGAGTATTTACTTCACATTTTATGTAGAATAAGGGCATTTACAACGGTGCCGGGTTTGTGTCCGTTGCTCCAAATTCGAGGCGGTGCGGCATACCCATTGTAGATGAGGAGCCGCAAAACTCGTCGTGGCGTGCGCCCCACTTCCGGCGTAGAGTCGGGCTTCGTTTCCGGTGCAAAAATGCGGCGGCCGTCCATTGTGACGGTGTGCCGCACCGGCTGTCCATAAAACAAGATTTTTGTGTTTTTATTTTCAAAACAGAATTGCTGTGTCGTGACAATTTGGCACTGTATATTTATATCACACACTAGTTTTTGATATTATATGTTAATATTATTGATATTTTAGGTCATATTTTCATTATAAAAACGTAAAATTTCTATTTTGATATTTTTTATGTTTTGCTTGTAGTTTAATTAATATTTTCCCATAAATAAATTTTTTTATGGGGGTGACGCATATTTTTAGACAATTGATTTCATTCAATCATTTCAATAATTAAACACTAAATTCAAAAAATTATTTCATTCAGGTGCACCTAATTTTACATCATATATTATAAGGCGGCCCTACCCTAAATATAATGTTTGATAAGTGAATGACAAGGAGTATCACTTTAAAATAATTTATTAATGTACTTTTCTAGCCTCGTGCACAATGAAAAAGATGTCGAAACAATTTGTTCGGTATAAAATACTCCTTCCCTTCCTAAATATTTGTCACATTTGTATTCCCGAGGTAAAATATCAAATTTTTTCAATTCATTTTATTTACATATTGGTATAGAAATAAAAAATAAAATTTACATTTCAAAAAACTACATGAAAAGTTCTTCGAAATAAGAGGTGTCAAGAATATTTTATTTTATCAAGTAACTAATGAAAACGTAGAAATAAACAAAAGTTCTCGCGAGTGTTGAAAAAGCAAATGTTGCAAATAATTTGGGACGAAGGAAGTAAGATTTTACATTTAAGAAAACGGCTATTGGAAGGTAAACTGGTTTTGAAATAAGTAGCTAAGTCTTGTAAAAATAAGTAACCATTTAAGAAAATGGTTATTTTATTATTATTGATAAGTAGTTTTTAACTTATAAGTTGCTTATAAGTAAATTATTTTAGTAAAAATGGAGAAACAAAAAAACTGATTTAAAAATAAATTGCTAAGACCTAATTATTTTTTGTAGGTCATAAGCAGCTTATAAGCACACAAAAACATGTTATCGACTGACTTATAAATTTAAAACTATTTATAAGCAATTTTGATCGGTTTATAAGCACATAGAAATACTGACCCACATAATAAGGATAAGGAGGGTATACCATCGACATCACAATTTAAATCTTTAACAAATTGGGCTTTCTATTATATCTTCGTTTTCAATCAAAGGAAAAGTTAGGCTCCCTCTTTAAAGATAGAAAACGGTTGGCATGGAAGATATGAATAATTATTGTATGTGCGTGTTTATACAAAGCATAAGGTCTGGCGGTAACGTATTATATTTGTTAGTTTTTGCTCACCTCTTGTCTAAACTTCGTTGTGACCTCTTTCAAACGCCACCATCATCGTCGTCTGGGTGAGGTCATTGCCACGCACTCCTCTTCGATATGATGCATGCAGCTCTGCTCTAGTTCCGTCTCCTTTTGGTCGACACAACTATGCTCCAACACCGGCATCTCATCTCCTTGATTGAGTATTAGGATCGTTCTCCAATCGATACAAGTCGGCTAGGGTTTACCGTGCTCCTTTGTTTTGGATCTCGTGCTTAGCTTCGATTCGAATTTATACACCAAGACTTCACAGACACGCAATACGCAATGTCTAAAGATGTGGTGAAAAATTGCCACAATGTTGTGGCCGCGGCATCTCACCACATGTCTTAATTCCCACTTGTACCTTTCTACAAAAAAAGAAAGGAAAAGGAATCAGAAACGCCTTTCCGACAGGCTCAGGTAAGCTCTCTGACTTACTCTTCTTGAGCTAAAAACCAAACCACAACAAGACAAAAGAATGAGTTGTTTTTTGTTTGACAATTTTCACAATTTTTTTCATCATCAAATAATTACTACTCCGCAGCAATAATTATTGTTGCAATTGTCAAATACTCCGTCTCTCCCAAATTATTTCCCACATTTGTATTCTCGAGGTAAAATATTAAGTTTTTTAAATTCATTTTATTTACATATTGGTATAAAAATAAAAAATAAAATGTACATATAAAAAAACTACATGAAAAGTACATATGTAAATTTTATTTTTTATTTCTTTACCAATATGTAAATAAAATGAATTGAAAAAACTTGATATTTTGCTTCGGGAATACAAATGTGGCAAATAATTTGGGACGGAGGGAGTATAAAAAAACTACATGAAAAGTTTTTTGAAATAAGAGGTGTCAAGAATATTTTATTTTATCAAATAATCAATGAAAACATCGAAATAAACAAAAGTTCTCGCGGGTGCTGAAAAAGCAAATGTTGTGAATATTTAGAGACGAAGGGAGTAACTACTTCCGTTTCAAATGAATTGACCTTTTTATTGTTTCAAGTTTTCTAATTTTTACTTGTGCATGCATTTTTATTTTTTATTTAACATAATAAAATAGAATTGTCATTATTTGTTTTATAAATTTTTTGATATACTTACATCATCATAAAAAATTGACTTCTTTACTAAAAAAACAAATTCTTACGTGATCCTAAGGTTCATGTTCAACTTATGGACCTTTGTGTATTTCTATCATAAAACATTGGGCAATTTACAAAAAAAATATCTACTTGTCAATACATAACAAGTGTGAGAAGCTATGTGAACTTTAGGACCACGAAAAACAACTATATATATATATATATATATATATATATATATATATATATATATATATATATATATATATATATATATATATATATATATATATATATATATATCTTCAAACTCAATCCTCATAAGAATATGTAAATATATGGAAGTTGTCTTGAATACAACTTATTTAGTCTCGATCCATACGTAAGATAAATACTTTCAAAGACCAGTTGAATATTTAACAAATAATTCTTAGTAAGTACTTGTTCTTCCAATAAGTTTTTGACTCACAAAATTGGGAATCAAATGCTCTAATTATCGCACAAGTCTTACTAATCCCATTACAAGATTTCATAACATATTTTGCGTCACCCTTGAAAATTACAGCAATTCTAAGAGTCTAAATAACAACATCTTCTTACAAATAGAGGTTATTACATAGTAAACTCCTAAGAAATATGGATATCAATTATGTTAAAGTATAATACTTGATGAGAACTTGAGAAAATCTGAGGGAGACTCTTAAGAGTTAAGAATCTCTTCTCCAGACTTCACCATTAGGGCAGACAAAAATAAAAAAAGAATGAAATAGCGCGAGTCTTTAAAATCTCACATCAACTCACTTTCAAGTTTCGACAATATAATGCATCGATGATATTTTCATCAAAATAAAATGTACTACAACATTCTCACTTTATGCATAGCGAAAAGAAAATTTTAAGCTATTTAAATTTATTTTTATATAAATTGGTATAGATCAAGACAATAAAATTTATATATTTTAAAACTACTCAAAAGCTCTACTAAATAAGAGGTGATAAGAATATTTTATTTTATCAAATAATTAATGAAAAATATAAATAAACAAAAATTCTCTGCTTTTGTAATAGTGAATAATGCAAATCATTTACCAATTTTTAAAGTGCAATTGGGATGACTGAGGGTGAGGAGCCGGTGTGGAGGTTTCTACGGGGGAGGACTTACTAGCCACGAGATCGATCAGAGTTAGGTGTATAGGATTAAGAATTCTTTATGTCCCATATTATTAAAATATACTTCGAGATATCTTTGATTTTCTGGTAAGAACTCACACGTATCACTTTATCTGAAATACTCTGAGGACCTTTAAAACTTGTTGTAATGTACTACGAGGGTACATTTCGTCCATTTGATCATTAGAATTGAAAGTTCTGTTACTTTGACAAATACTAAATTTTATATTGACAATCATCATTTTATTAAATTTTAGTAAAAAATTTTAATTTCTCAAAGTAACAGAACTTTCATTACTAACATCTAAATGGACAAAATGTACCTTTAGAGTATAATATCATAAATTTTAAAGACCCTGGAATATATTTAGGAGTATGTGAGACTTAAGAGTTCTTACTAGAAAATCGAGGGACTTGAAAGTTACAACAACAGCAACCCAGTTAAATCTCACAAAAAAGAGACAAATTCACCAGTCTCATTAATTTCGTCTCTTTTCATTTGAGACGAGAATATTCTGTCTCTTTTTGTTTGGGACGGAAATGAGACGACATAGAAATGAGACAGAATTATGTGTATAAACTTGGCCAGCCATAATTCAAAATTATTCATTTTAGAGACTAAAATTTGTCTCAAAATCTAAATATAAAAAAACAAATTGCCGATATTAATAGCCTAAAACAAATTGCTGATATTAATTGCTGTTATTGCTGATATTAACACATGTCCAATGTGATCTAAAACTTGCTACAAAAACATCAATTTTTTTACAAATAAGTACACCAAAGAAATAACATTAAAAAACACATTCATCATGATCCAAAACAATGTAATTGCAGCAAACATACTTCCTCAAAACAACTTCATTCTTCAACATGTCCAAGACTCAAAAACATCATTGTACCAAGCTCCTATTTATGACAATGTCATCATTACTTGTATGCTTGGAGAGCGTTTATTCTTCATCTTCTTCTACATCTACCAAAAAACAAGTATAAAATTGTTACCTAGTCAATAAGATATAAAGAAGTTGAATACTTGCTTTTTTTTAAATTTTGAATCTACATGTGATCAAACTCATCATCATCTGAAGAGCATAATGAATTGTCTGAGTCCTCACTATCATTAGAAAAAGGTTCAAAGAGGGGCTGTTCTATTTTTAATGGCCGAGAGGGTTTCTTTTTTGCTTCCAGATTTAGATCCACTAGCAACTAGGAAAGTATTCACTTCACTCTCTTGAATTATTCTTCTTTTTATTGGTCCTCGGTAAACATTTGACATTGTTGCATTGAATGACATCATTTTGTTTCTTAAATCATCCATTTCTTCTTCAACCTCGCGATGACGTTTTCTTTCTTCTCTTTGAGCCATTTTTGTTTTTTCCAATTTTTTTTTCTAAACTCTCTATTTTTCCTTTCCAGGCTGCATCTTTCTTCTCCAATTCTGCTTTGAGATGCTCAACCTCACTACTATCCACCTTTTACAAAAAATTATAATGCACGTGTAAAGAATAATAATTAATGTCCGAAAAAGGAATGGTAAGAGTTTAAAATAAAATAAAAGGCATCATAAAAATTTCATTTTACAAAACATAACACCTAATATGCATAAACAATCATATTTACCCGTGATGTCATAGTCGCTGAAGTAAATGCATCAGGATTAGAAAACTCCAAAGGGACACCTGTCCATTGATCTCCCTTTTGAACCCCACCAGATGCTTGAACCCAAACATCTTTATCAAACACTGGCCACTTTTCACGATCTTTAGCAAACTTAGTAACCATAACTTCACAATACTTTTTCTAAAAAGTTAGAAACAATGTGACAACATGTAATATTTAAAAAGGCATAAACCTGTAAATATGATATACTCCGTACCAAAATTCGAGTATGTCGAGTTGGATATGGTTGTCCAGTTTTTGGATTAGTGCACATACGTTGTAACAGCTCATCTAAACGACAAGGACGACCTAGTTGAATAGACTACAAAGAAGCCACAAAAAAACCATATATTTAGTCAATTAGTGACTTCGTCTTTGAACCCAAAATACTTCTCACACGTAAATATTATTTGTCTTACCAATTCTTTTAATATCTGTGACTTTGTCTTTGTGCCCAATGTACTTCTTGTTGTGACCTCACTTTCAAGTAGTTTACCTAAAATAAAAGATACACAATAATAAATTTAATAGAGAGGCTGTTTCCAAAGAGACCCCCGGCTCAACATCGAAAGTTGCATTGCTTGACTACCTGCTACTTCTTTAATTAAAGAAGCGCAGACAGTTTAGAGATCCATTTTGATTTATTCCATCACACCCCAAAGCCAAAAATGGTGAAATGTTGGCTCCATCGGAGATGATGGAAAAAGAGGGACTTGAAAGTTCTTACCAAAAATTCGAGCATATCCCAGGGAAATGAGAAGAATGGGCCGAGAGTCTGCCCCATTGTAAATACACTAAATTCTATGAGGTGTGCTAGGATAACCCCAAATTTTTTACACATCATTGAAACAAAGATACACAAACAATCATTGTCTGTGTGTGTACAAAGGTTCTATTCTTTTCAATTGTGTGCGTCTGTGATACACTAATGTGCAAATTGAGATACAAAGGTTCTATTCTTTTCAATTTAGTCTTATTAGTTATTACTTAATATTTATTTTTATTTGAATCAATTTAGAGCCTATTCTTTAAAGCTTGAACTCTGAACTTTCAGTTTCTTCTACTTCTTTCCAATATCTTGCAGTTTTTTCCAGTTCTTTCAGTTCCTTCCATTTTCTTCCAATATCTTCTAATTTCTTCCAGTTCATTCCAGTTTCTTCCAACTATCCTTATTTCTTCAAACTCTTTCTACCCCCAACTAAACACTTTAAACTGATATACTTTTAATGTGATTATTATTATTATTATTACAACAATTATGTTCATAACTACATTTTGTAAATTATTTTTTTCATCTTGCTCTTTTTATGATTAATACTCATTATTTTTTATTGAACTTTTTAATATGAATAAGACAATTTTTTGTATATTAATCTATATGATAAAATAGGAAAATATAAATATTTAAAACTATATTAAAAAATTATGGACAAAATAGTTGTATATAATGTTTTATTAATCTTACTTTATATAAGACCCTCACCTTCCCATTATTACTCAATGTTTGTTTTTTTCGTTTCTCCATTTTTTTAAGAAATTGAAAGTAAAAATAATTTAGAGAAAAAAAACTAAATTAGGAGTAAAACATTAAAAAAGCACAAAAAAAGTTCTATGTCTTTATTACAAAAATAGAAGTTACAATAAAAATAAAATGTCAATCATGAAAGAAAAAATAAATTTGATTATATTATGTGATATATCTAATATTTAAAACAAAATCTTGTAATATGCAAAGTATAATTACAAATATATTATTTTATAACAAATACTAAATAAATAAATTGAGGTGTAACGTAACCACAATAAATTTTTAAAATTTAACATTTTGATATTTATGCTAACTTTATATTATAATTATATTTTTGTAAAAGTAGTTTTTTTGTGGATGAAAAAATACAATACTTTTTTATCTTAAATATATTTATTAAGATAACGTGATAATGATGATAATGATAATAATAAGAATAATAATAATACTAATACTAATAATAACAATAATAATTTATAACAACAAGAGTTAGAATGATACTAATATAAATATACACTAAAACAATTTTTTTTAAAGTTTTTCTAGGTTTCCTATTTTTTGAAGTTTTTCTTATTTCTTTCAGTTCCTTGTAGATTCTTCTATGTCCTTCCAGTTTCGTCTAGTTTCCTTGATTTTTTCAGCTATTTCCAGTTTCTTCCAACATGCAACGCTTTTTTTCCAGTCCTAAAGAATATGAAACAGTTTTAAATGTAACTTCAATTCTACTCCCTCCGTCCTAAAATGGAAGCAATTAACACTCCACTATTTAAAATAACGAAAACTATTATTTATTTTTGCATTTTCATTGATTATTTGGTAAAATAAAATATTCTTGTTACTATTTGTTTTCTAAAACTTTTGACATAGTTTTTAAATATGTAAATTTTATTTTTTATTTATAGGCAGATGAAGAAATTCCAAAAGTTACTTAGTGTGTACCAAATGAAATTGGGTATTTAGGCCCCGTTTGGCATGAGCTTCAGATATTAGCGTTAGCGTTTTGAAAAAGCTATCCAACGGTAGCCTTTAGCGTTAGCGTTTTCAAAATTAATCTGCACCGTTAAAATTTTATCCAAAACGCTAGCGCTAATCGAAAACGCTGTTACCAAACGAAGCCTTATAATGGAAGGTGGCCCACCGCAAGCGGTATTACAACAAAAATTCAGAGCCACTGTCCGTATTGACATGATTATATGCCCTCTGTTCTGCGCTTTGTCAGTTATTCTCCATTGGCTTCAAAACAAAGTGGTGCTTCATACTTCTTTCTTTTTCTGAAAAACAAAACTTTATTTATTTTCTTCCCAGTATTTTTTTAAAACGGTAATTCGCATGAGTCTTAGTTACTATTTACATATCAAATTAACTTTACTTTTCCTACACATTTTAGTCCATCATTTAATAAAATAAATGTCTTTCTAGGGGAATATATAAAATTACACATTTTTTTGTGGATATCTCACCCAAGAAATTCTTCTTCATTTTTTCTTCAAAAAATGCTTATCAGAACGTAATACGGAGTATGTGATTCATATAATTTCTTTGATTTATAATCCCCATTAATTCTGATTACACTCAGGCCATTTCACATTTCATTTTTCTAGTAATTTTTTTAAACACTACAAAATCAAAGAGTTATTTTTATTATGAATCTGAGGGAGAGTTAATAAAATAAAAATGTGTGCAAAAAAATAAAATAATTAAAATGTGGCTCATATCATTTGCTCTTTTAAATGAGGAAGTAGATATTTAATCTTCAGAGAAAGCGATAACTTTCGATACTTGTAGAAAGAATATACACACACACACACACACACACACACACCTAAAAAAATGTTACATTGTGCGAAACAAAATAAAATTTTAAGTTTTTTTTCAATTCGTTTTATTTAAACATTGATATATAGAATAAAGAAATAAAATTTACATATTCAAAAACTAAGAGATAATAAGAAAAAATAAGAGATAACAAGAAAATTTTATTTTACTCCATCTGTCCCTATTTAGATTACAATATTACCTTTTTGTGTAATTTAATATTAAGTCACTTAAAATATATAGCCAATATAGGTGTTTACTCCCAATAGGCCTTCTGATAATGTATAATAGGTTATAGGTGTTTACTTATTTACTGTAGATAATTTTGTCCAAAATAAATTTTATTATTGTAATCCATTTTGGGATAAGAAAAAACAAGGAATATTGTAATCAAAACTGAGACGGATGGTGTATCAAATAATCAATGGAAATTTACAAATAGATAAAAATTCTCATAATTTTAAATAGTGAAGTATTGTAATTAATTTTTAGAGCAATGTTAGGTTTACAAATAGAATGATCATAAACTTCACAAACGTATTATTTATGATTTAAATTTTCATATTAAAATTATTTTGGACTGCTTAATTTTTTATTAACATTCACAAATAAAAAATTTGTAAAGTTTATATGTAGTGTTTGTTTGTGAACCAAACATTTTTTAGTACTAAAAGAATATTATTAGAATAAATTGTAATTAAAAAAAATGGAACTTTATACGGAGTATTTGTTCTTTTCATTGTACAGAGTTTTTTTGTTAAAGAAAAAGACTTTCTGCAAATTTCTCAATTCAAAAAGCAACCTTTACTATAAAAGTAGTACGCCGAACTGTTCTTGACAAAGATAGTTTTATGCTGAATTTTATTTTGTTGCAGATGGGGGCCTGCATTTCTATTATTCTCGTTTAAAGGCTTACCGGCGATGCCAACGCCGGTGAGCACGGCCCGGCAGTACTTGACGGATGAGGCGGCGCGCGTGCTGGACGAAGCCGTGAACGTGGCCCGTCGCCGGACCCACGCGCAGACCACCTCCCTGCACGCGGTTTCGGCGCTGCTGGCGCCGCCGTCTTCCCTACTCCGGGAAGCGTGCGCGCGGGCCAGGAGCTGCGCTTACTCGCAGCGGCTGCAGTTCCGGGCGCTGGAGCTCACCGTCGGCGTGTCCCTCGACCGCCTGCCCACCACCAAATCCCTAGACGACCCGCCGATTTCCAACTCGCTCATGGCCGCAATCAAGCGATCGCAGGCGAACCAGCGGCGGCACCCGGACACTTTCCACCTGTATCAGCAGTTGCAGAGCCAGTGTCCGTCTTCGTCTCCCCAGATTTCGATTCTCAGAGTCGAGCTGAAGCAATTTGTGCTATCCATCCTGGATGACCCGATTGTGAGCCGGGTCCTCGGAGAAGCGGGTTTCGGCAGTCTCGATATCAAGCTCGTGATTCTCAATCCCCCGACCATTTCCAGATTCCCTAGGGATTGGCACCCGCCCCAATTTTTCTGCAAATCACCAGATTATGAGCTCAACAGACGCCCCTTCAATTTCCCATTTTCCACATCTCCCCAAAACGAGAATGTCGACGGGAACTCCAGAAGAATTGGAGAAGTTCTGGCGAGGAAAAACTCAAGAAACCCTTTACTAATCGGGTCCTACGCAAACGAAGCTCTGGGTAACTTCACAGAGTGTCTAAAGAAGGGTGAAGATGGCGTCCTTCCCCGTGAAATCAGGGGATTGAGCATAATTTGCATAGCAGAGGAGATATCGGAGTTTTTCCGGCACGGCGAGAGCAAAAAGCCCTCCATAGCTCTTAAAATCAAGGAATTGAGCGGCGTGGTCGAGGGTTGTAAAGGGCCTGGGGTGGTGGTCAGTTATGGCGATTTGAAGGTCTTTGTCGACGGTGAAGGAACAGAAGAGGCGAAGTATTTGGTTTCAGAGCTGAACAGATTGGTGGAAATCCATTGTGGGAAACTGTGGCTGGTTGGAGCTGCTGGAAAAGATGAAATCTTTATGAAGTTCTTGGAAAACTTTCCCTCTGTTCAAAAGGATTGGGATTTGCATCTTCTCCCCATCACCACCAGTTCAGCAGGATTTAATGCCAGGTCCAGGTAAGCTGCCTGTCTGCTTCTGGTATACTTATATT